TCTCACCAGACCCACAGCTGCACAGCAGTTGTGGGGGTGCAGGCCGAGCCCCAAGTTACAGCCATGGGTGAAGCTGCTGCTCCGGCCTTCGGAGTGCTTCTGTCTGATTTTTGTCCATCTACACTGTGCTGTCAACTTGCAGGCAGGCGTTTGCACATGAGGTTGATCTGGTTCCACTGAGAGTGCGCTCAGGGACCTGCATCCGTCCACACAGGCCCAGCTGGAGAACTGATGAGCACTGTGGCGCTACCCAGCTCGGAGGAGCCCATCTCAAGCCAGGCACCTGGCCCAGAAGGTCTCTGTGTGCTGGTGACATGTCCCCCCATGGGGGTAGCGGTGCCGATCTGCTCCTGGCTCCCGCCCCCCTAGTGTTTCCTTCCCTTCCACACCTCTCACCCTTCAACCTCACATGGACCAGAGTGAACGTTCCCCACTTCAGAAAATGCTAGACACCAGTATCTGCAAAACGAAGCACCTGCTCCGAGGGCTGTCCTTTGCTCCCAGATCTCTAAGTAACCCCTGGAGAGACGGGGTGCCTCCCGGGAAGAAAGTCAGAACAGAAAGAACAGGTGTCATTTTTAGACTGACTGAAAGCAAATGAAAACTAATACCTTTAACTTATAATCTGCATTTGTGATCAAAATTGTCCTTATAATTGACGTGTAAAAAAACTGCACACAGAAGCTAGCTCTAGCACATGAAATAAAGTTTATAAATTCTCTACTTGTAAGCTGCCGGCAAATAAAAACTCCAGTGGATTTTTCATCTGAAACCCAGCACTGACGGTCACTCTCTCCTCTCGGCGTGGGAGGCAGTTCACACGCAGGCACACAGCTCCTCTCAGGCTGAGCGAGCCAGAGCCACACAAGCACGTGAACGCATGAAGGAAATTCTAAACAGATTTTACTCCACGTGATAATTTCTCAAGAATCGAGCCATTCTTAGCCCAACGCAGGCTGCTCGCTGGCTGCCCTTCCTGCTGCCCCCCATGGCAGGCCGTTAGCAGTCCAGGCAGTGGCTCTCTCAGCCCCGGGCCTGGGGGGTGCGGTTGGAGGACAAACGAGCCCATGGCAGCTCCATCTGCAGATGAAGCCCTGGCCTTACTGGAGCGCTTGCTTACGCAGCCAGCTCGGCCCCTTCCAGCCACGTGGCTGCTCTGTGTACCACAGCAATGTTCGGAACACGCTGCCTCTCCCTTCCCATTCTAAGCCTGCCCTCCCTCAGCTGTGGCTGCTCCTTCAAAGAGTTCTCTGTGCTCCGCGCTCAAGTGAAAGCAGCCAAACGCCTTTCTCTGCACGGCGGGCTCGGGAGGTCCAACCGCCCTGTCCTTACTCTCCGAAAATGCCTGCTCAGTGTATTTCCTCAAAGAGAAAAATGAGCTCCTAACTGAACTTGCCTTCCATGCTGAGTATGGGACCGGCCTCGTGGACTCTGGGCAAGCCTCGGCTGAACCAGCTCCACAGCTCCTGGGATGGGGCAGGGGCGGCAGAGGGGAGGTGCCATCACAGCCGGACGGGGCAGTGGGGTGCCCCCTGAGCCGAGAGCCAGAGGGTGGGAGCATGCCTGATCCATGGCTGGCCCCTCCAGGCACAACTCTTGGTTTCTTGAAACTGGCTGTAAACAGAGAGAGGGAGGGGCTGCCACGCCTGCCAAGGGAGGCAGAAACTTTGTGAGTAATTTACTAGAGGAAAAACAAGTGGTGCGCTTCCACACTGGGCACAACGTGTGCGCTCCAGCCCCCACGCAGACACGCACGCACACATACACATACAGGAAGCCCACGCTGCCCAGCTATTGCTGATAAGGAGACTGCGGGCTTCCAGAGAAAGATACAGATCCTTCCTGCTGTCCTGGTGGTGCCCCGCTGCAGTGTTGCTTCCTGACGGGGTACACGGTACAGGCACAGAGACATAGGGGACACAGAATAAAGGTAAGGGCCGATGGCTTGGCGCTGCCTGCCTGGCGATGTGCTAAGAACTTGGGAGGGAGGGGTCAGGCGAGCTGACCCCAGCCAGCGGAGAGTGCTGACTGCCCTGCAGAGGACGAGCCCTTTAACCGGCGAAGTGAAAGGGAAGCTGATAGAGGGCGGGACCTAGAAGGATCAGGGTTGTGGGACCAAGAGCATGTCTGCCTGGGTTCCCGGACCGGGGGCTGTGACGGCGGGTGCAGAGGGCCTGCGGCCTTTCTCGCTGGCAGATACTCCGCATGAGAGAGCGAGCACCTGTCCTAGCAACGGCGGAGGGCCCTTCCTTTTCAGAGGCTGGGGTGAAAAACGTCTGCGGTGGCCACAAGAACGCACAGTGTTTCCTGGGGACTTGAGGCCAGTGAGGTCTGGCACACGAATGCCCCACAACCCAGCTCACCACCCCCCAGTCACCCTCAAAGCTGAGGTTCAGCAGGCAGGAGCCTCAAGACAGACGGGGACCAAACACATGGGAGAGGAGACGGCATTTAGACATCTGCAGCTGGCTCCAGGGGCGTTCAGGAAGGAGAGCCAGGAGAAAGGAAACCAGCCATTTAATCAGCTAAAGGATGACATAAAAAGGACTCTTCCTCCAGCTCATAGGGAGACCAAAGCTTCCAGCAGGAGCCCTGCCAGGGAGGGGCTGGCCTTGGACCCATGGGTGTTCCAGGATCGCGTCACACTGCCAGGTGCTCCCACCTTCTCCCCAGAATGCAGCCTTTGGGGTGCAGAGCACCTGCCAGGGCAGAGGCTGAGAAGCACCGTCTGGCTTGAAGGACCTGTGTCCGTGCTGCGAGAGTAAACACTTCTCCCGAAAGTGACCTAAGGGCACGTGTGGGCAGAGGCGGGCCAGCCCTGCGCCCAGTGGTGCCTGAGCATCGTTACCATCTGACACACGTCATCTCAGGCTGCTGGGTGGCATTTGTTAGGATTGCAAAACATTCCCACAAACGTGGCGTCCCTCCTGTCCGCACCTGCACAGGAATTCATGCATCTCCGGCCCGCCCATCGTGGCTGATGTTGGGGGCCTCACACACAGACACGCTCCTGTCATGGGGGCTAATGATGCTGCCAGAGCACCTGATCCCCTCATTTCCTTCGTTATTACTACCCCTCCGCGCCACCCCCCAGCTGCTGACCTGTGTGTTGGCCAAGCCCCACGGTGGCAGGACGCTCCTCCTCACTCACTGCTGTGACCCCAGCACCCAGCACGGTGGCTGGACACAGCAGGCGGTTGGGAAATGACAACTAGACTTTACAGTCACAGAGCCCTTTCCCCACGTTACCACGTTCTGCCCACGCCAGGACCACAGCCAACAGTACAGCAGCAGGTGCAGAGCAGGATGGACCCCAGCTTCTTCCAAGGGGCAGGGCAGCGCCAGCATCAGCAGGGCTGGCCCTTGCCGTGTCCCTAAGCCTGGGAAACAAATGTCTGTGTGTCTTTGCCTGAGAGGATTTCTCTTCTTATTCTGAGGACAGGAGGCCTGGTTGAGCCGAGCGACATTTTGAATGTAAGGTTTTCCTCCAAAGAACTGATGTTTCTGAGGAATGTCTGCTCTTTCTTTACCTCGGGGCCCCATCTGCCTCTTCTCATTCAGGTCCTTACTGCCTCGCTGCATACCCGGGTCTCCCACTCTGTCTGCATTGCCTCCAAGGTTGGGAGGGAGGGAGTGCCAGGGCCCCCTACCCACTCCTGTCCGTCTCTCAGTGTGCTGGCCCGTAGCAGGTCAGCTCCCACAGGCGCTTGTCCACCCCGGGAACTGCCAGGGTCACCGGGGGTTCTGGGTACATTACTTCACCTGAGTCTTGTGACAGCCCATGAAGACCAAGGTGTTGAGCGGCACAGGCTGTCCCAGGCCTCACACATGCCTCCGGGCGCTCCTCAGGTCTCCAGTCCCGTGTGCCACACAGCCCCCAGGAACAGCAACTCTTCCTCAGGAGGTGGGGTCCCCGCCACCCTGGCTTAGCACCTCCTGCTTTCCCAGCTCAGTCCCGGGCACACCACTGGTCACGCACATGGGAGCTTTCTGTGGCTGCTCACACATGTGTGTCCTCTCATGGGGCTAGCAGTGCAGTGTTCCAGGGCTGCACAGGTGGTGTGAGAGACTGGGCGGGTTTCTGGCCACCAGCCACAGGTGTGGAGGACAGGGCAGAAAGTACTGTATGATTCCTCTGCACGCTGGGAAGGGTCTGGGTCAGTGCAGGAAGCCAGGAATGTGTCCAGGCAGGGCTGGCTGCCTTGCTGGCAAAAGGTTGCATTCCCAGGAGGTGGCGGTGGAGGGGCTGACAAGGCAGAGCAGCCCAGCAGGGGGAGGTCAGGCCTTAGGTCCACCCCTCCCTCCTCAACAGGCTCCTCTGACCTTGGCTGAGTCACCACCTGTCACCAAAAGGCTTGTGACAGTATGTGTGTTACAGCCCAAGTGCCATGCAGGTGCACCTCGGCTGACCAGCCAGTGGCCCCGTGGGTAGTTTGTCTTTTTATTCCCACTGTTGAGTGAAGAGGCTGAAATTGAGGGTGGTCAGGCAGTTCTTCCCTGGGGGCCCACACCTACTGAGGGCTCCTGGGCCAGGTCAGCAGGGGCCTGCAGAGCATCCCCCCTGGTAGAGAGAAGCCCCCTGAACCCTGCTAGCGCTGCTGAGGAGGTGAGCAGGTGGGGGGTGCCCACTCTGGCCAGGACATGGGAGGAGGTGTGAAGCACTCATGGGACAGCCTCCCCAGAGTGTCTTGGATGAGTTATCCACGGCTCGGCTTTTCCTCAGAAACAGGGTTGGGGAGATTCCCCATGGCTGTCAAGATGACCGCAGCACTGTGACCTTTCTGGCACAAAGCGGCCTGGCTCAGGACCTAAGACAGGTGTTGTGCGATGGCAGCTTCGCTTCTGCAGAAAACACACACTCAGGACAGAATTGCTGACTGCTCCCGTGTTAGCTTAGGAGCAAGGCTTTCTTCCCGTGCCCCCTCTGCATTTCTGAGGAACTTGCGGGCCAGGTCCCTGGCTCGAGGAAACGACTAACTCTCTGCTGCTTTTCACCACAGAGCCCGGCTGAGCCATGTGGAGCTGTGGCCCGCTCAACGGCACGGGCAGGGGCGAGGACCAGCTCCTCTGCCAGCACTTCCACCTGGTCCTGTCTGTCTTCTCCCTGCTCTACCTGGTCGTCGGCATCCCAGTTGGCCTGGGCTACAACGCCTTGTTGATCCTGGTCAACCTGTGCGACCAGAGCAGCATGACCATGCCCGATGTCTACTTTGTGAACATGGCCGTGGCAGGCCTGGTGCTCAGCGCCCTGGCACCCGCACACCTGCTGGGCCCCACCACCTCCGGGTGGGTGCTGTGGGGCTTCAGCAGTGAGGTCCACATCACGCTGCTGGTGCTGTTCAACGTCTGCTCCCTGGTGACCATGTACTCCACGGCCCTGCTCTGCCTCGACTACTACATCGAGCGGGCCCTGCCGCGCACCTACATGTCCAGCGTCTACAACACCAGGCACGTGTGCGGCTTCGTCTGGGGTGGGGCCCTGCTCACCAGCTTCTCCTCCCTGCTCTTCTACATCTGCAGCCATGTGGCGGCCAGGATCATCGAGTGCTCCAGGATGCAGGATGCTGAGGCCACCGATGCCATCATGGTATTCATCGGGTACCTGGTGCCCGCCCTGGCCGTGCTCTATGCTCTCGTGCTCATCTCACGGATTCGGAAGGAGGATACGCCCCTCGACCAGGACGCGGGGAGGCTGGACCCGTCGGTGCACAGGTTGCTGGTGGCCACTGTGTGCACACAGTTTGGGCTCTGGACGCCGCACTACCTGACCCTCCTGGGGCACACGTTCCTCACCTCCCGGGGGAAGCCCGTGGACGGGTACGACCTGGGAATACTGCTCTTCACTAAGGATCTGTCGCGGTTCTTGGCCTTCTCCAGCAGCTCCGTGATGCCGCTTCTTTACCGCTACATCAACAGAAACTTTCCCGGCAAACTCCGGCAACTGATAAAGAAAATGCACTGTGGGCACCAGAGCTGCTCCATGGACCACGCGGGGGCACAGCAGGTGATGGCGTAGACGGCAGCTCCACGGGCATGGCCCCCCTGAGCACTGGTCCTGGGTGCCACCGTCAGTGCCCACCGTGGGGTCAGCTGACAGAGGTGCCATGGTGCACGTCCTGGAGGCATAGTCTCCGGTGACCAAGCTCAGGCCTGTCGCTCTCTCCCTCCTGGGTCCCAAGTCCTAGGAGAGGAGGTGGCTGCCGCTTCGACTAGATGCACAGCAACTTTGTCACCAGCACGCTGTCGCTCTCGTCCCCAGAAGGAGCCACACTGAGGCCAGAACAGTACCAGCTGTGTTCTCTTGAAGTTCTCGGTGTTTTTCCAAAAAAGGCCACGCTTAAGCCAAGGCCATACTGTTCAAAGCAATATGTGCCTGGTGTGAAGATAAGCCGTGTTAACTCACCTGCTTCTCCTAGAGGTGTGTGCGTTTCTCCCACATATGTCTTTCGGGTCCACGCCCTCAGCAACCTACTTACTACCTTCAGCCTCCTCGACATCAGGCTTTCTAAACGAAGTCATGAAAATCTAAAGCCAGTATTTATACTTTGTATTGTTAAAATACTTGATTCCCCCTCTTATTTTTTTGTTTGCTTATAAAAAGAGATATTTGATAGAAAAGTCACAACGTATTAAAATGAAGAAAACAATACAAAAGAACACGCACATCGGACTGGGGTGGGTGGACCGTGCTGCTGAAGAGTCAGGTCTGTGGAGGAGGCCAGGGCCGTGCAGGCATGTGAGGAAAGGCCTCTGAGAACATGCTTGCGTCACATCCAGGGGTGTGTAAAAATATTTCAGCAAGGAAGAGTCCGAGATGTGCCTGGTCCTAAGCAGGGAGTAATTAAGCAGCACTGTGCTCTCTCCTTATCCACTTGATGCACCTGGTACCCTCCTTCTGCCTCCCAGGTAACATCCGCTGACCTGTGTTCAGTATGGGTCTGTCCTTCTAAATCACTCCCTAAAGTGCGCACAAAACTAAAGAATATAAATAAACTGAAGGAAAAAATGCAGATGGGATTTCTAACCTAACTCAGAAGCTGGAAGGGCCTGCCCAGGGGGGAGAGATCTGGAGGGCTGATCGTCCTGTGACGTCTGGTCCGGAGCGGGGACCGGGGAGTGATTCTGGCTCTCTGAGAATGAAGCATGATCAACATCTTGCATCTGTCAGGTCCTCATTAACTGACGCTGCAGGGTAACCTAATTCGGGCCTGCTTCACTGGCAGGAGCTGCGTGGGTGTCAGCGGGAAGGCAAACACAGGCGGCGCAGGAGCCACAGCCCCCTCCCTGCCACCACATCTGCACCTAGCAGAGGGCCCTCTATCAATCTAGATCCTTCCACCGCCCCACATTCTGTAAACGTCTACTTTAAAAACGTGGAAATGGAAAGAACCTCCTTTCCTTGACACCATCTCAAGTCTTTATGATTAAATTACAGGCCCATAACCCTCTAATCCCCAAGTCTGAAACCCAGAAAGCTCTAAAAACAAAGATATTTTCCCCCAAGTTTGCAGCAAATTCATTTGGTAGCGAACCCTGACCTGAGTGGTATGAGGGCAACTTGCTGAAGGAAGGTGAAGGATTATGGGCCCACTGCGGCCCACCTGTGTTCTGTGAGACACGGTACACGCAGCGTCCTGACCTCTGACCACCTGACAGATCTGAGTTCTGACACATCTGGCCCCAAGGATAACTGTGGCTCTCTTTTTGTGTATTGCACATGGGGAAACCACCACACTTGGTCCTAGTGTCTTGGGAAATTTAGCCCATGGGTTAGTTATCAGTTAACCACGTGCACAATAGATCCCCTCCAGGATGCCGTGCCCGAGTCGAGTCTGCCTGTGCAGAATCATGACAATACACTGGACGCGACGGCCCTGGTCCTACCTGCCCCACGCAGCTGTGACACTCTGGACAGCTTCTGTGGAGCTGTCCACTTTCCTGCCAGTAAACCTCGGGGCTGAATGAGAGGTTTCTGGGTTGCTTCTGTTGGTGAGTGTGCTGTTTCTACTTGAGGGCACAGCCACTCCCTCTGCCGCTCCAGTCGTCAGGTGTGCCAGGATTTCTCTTCAAATCCTGAAAGCCTCAGGCCTGACACCCTCTACTCCTCACACACATGGCCCTGTGGAGAGTCTGTTTCTCTCAGGAATGACCCTAGGGCTGCAAGGCAGGGGGTCCTGTGTTCATGGCCCTCTTGGAAACCCTGGTGTTGGCTGAGGGAGTGGCAAGTGTGATCCCAGAGTCCCCAGCACAGCAGGGGACTGGAATCTCCACATGCCCACTGCCTCTCAGTCTGTAGTTCTCTCCTGGGCGAGCAGGCTTGGGGCCAAGGTCAGGCCAAGGTCCCCGTCACACAGCCTAGCCCTTGGGTCAGAGAGCCAGCACTACCATTAGGGGAAAGGTATCTGGTGGGTGGGCTCGTTTATGGTGGCAAAGTCGGGTTTAAAACAGACACTCTTATCCTTGCTTATCCTTTGCTCCAGGACAAAGCTCCTGGGAACGGGGCAATCCCAAAAGCACAGACCTGAGAAGCACACATACCTCTGCCCACAGCTGCGACCCCTCAGCCCAGCTGTCTTCCTCAAGCAGAGGAAGCGGCCTAAGGTCATGTTTTTTTTCTTTTCAATTTCTCAGTGGCTTTGGTTGCAAACTGGCTGGCTAGTCTCTGGGGGCCTCCTGGGAGGCTCGTGCTGGGGCAGCCATGCATTTCTCTGTCCCTTCCGTGTCCAGTGCCCACCTCTGCTGGTGACAGAGGGGCCCTGGGGACATGCTGGCAGCCTGGTCGGCTCTTCCCGGTGGAGCACAAGCCTGGTGCAGACCCTCACCTCTAACTGAGACGCTCTACTGCTGATGCTGATCTGGGATCCCACCTCCACATGAGGAGCAAACCCACAGACATGCCTTCATCTCCGTCCCACCCCTTCCCACTGAGGACACCTCTGCCACTAACCCACATGGGCTTGGCTTATCGACGTTCTTGTGCCAGATTCATCCGGGACTTGCATTTCTCTTACTTCCCCGGGATGTCTGATTCCCAATATTTCTGCCACGTTGCCAAAAAAATGGACAGAATTTGGAGCTACTCAGAGGATAAAGAGAAGCTATTCGGAAAAAGCCAAGGAAGACTGTGAACTCAATCCTAACTTTTTTAAATTGACTAGTCCTGTGTTTCTTCAAATAAGTTCGCAAGATACAAGTTTTTCAGTTTATGTTCCAAAGTCATTAATTTTGCTATCCACACTTGACTATTATAATTTTAAAATTAATAATCTTACTTTTGTTAATCCACAAAAACTCATCTACCTTGAAATGCTTTATTATTTAAGATTCCAGAAGGTGAGTTTAATCTTGGGTTGACTTCATGAAGGTTATAAAATTTATTGAAGGAGACTGGATCTATTGCTAATTGTGGCAGATATATCAAGAAATCAAGAAACACACATTCCTTTATAAAAATCACCTGACAAAGGATAAACCAGGAATAAATTATTAAAAAGTTAAATTACACACCAAATTCTTGAATTTAAAATCACGTTGGGAAATTTGGGGGCTTTCTCATGTCTAATCTGTTAAATCTGCCCCAATGGCTGCACCCGTTTGCCTGAAGTTCTACGTATATGAGAAGGAAGCTGCTGAAGAAAAAACCCACACATCTGAAGACTATTAAGTTATTTGATACTTATTATCCAATTTCTGAGTTCTTAAAGTGTGTATATCTAGGGGCATGTGATGTATATCAGAAAACAGTCTAGAAAGTACCATAAAATTGGTACTTCCCCCATAACACAAGTCTCAGCATTCTTAGTTCCCTCTCTGTAGGTCCTCTGCACTACAATTCTATCATCAAACCACCAGTTGTTCCGCTCCGTGCAGACCCCGAACCTGTTGCCGCTGTGTGACCAGCAGTCCTTAGCAGTGACAGACCTGGGTCTCAGACACCTGCTGATGGTCAGCCTCGGAGGCTAGCCCAAGAGCAGTCCTACAACTCCTGCAGACACTACTCTTCCCTGAGAATACAAATGTTAAGACTACTGACTGCAGCCCGAGTGCTTTAGTGAGAACAGAATAGAGGGTGTCCTGGCAGCTCCAGCAGGGCCATGTGGGAGCCATTTGTCTGCCCCCCACCCTCTGCAAGAGGGGCCTGTCTTGCCACTGGTTAACGTCGCTTTGCACACAGTATGCATTCAATAAATGTGAGAAATGAATAAGTGAATCATCTAGGAATGAAGTAATGTGAACATATCCATTTTATATTAATAAAGAATGTGCAGTTTAAAGAATTGTTATGAGCCTGCCATATTTTGTTGAACACGTCTGTGTGGGAGACAGAAGTCTGAGTGTCTGTGTTGTCAGTCCTCCTCACGATGCAGCCCATGCTTCAGGAGGCAAAGCCCGGGACTGAGGGACCCAAATGCCACTTGCCATTCCATTTAAGGAAAGGTTATTCCAATTCAGAGAATCTTCATGGTTTGTTTTTCTAACTTTCTATTGAAGAACTAGCGCATACAAAAACAGACTAGTGAACTGCACCCCATTACCCTGTAATTATCAACACATGGCCAGCTGTGCTTCATCTGTTTCTCCTCCCACTGCACCACCTTCTCCAGCCCACTAGGAACTGTAGGTAGAAGATAATTTCACTGGGAGCCTGCTCCTTGCCAGGTTGGGGGACCCCTCCCAGGACCTGCCTGAGGCTACCTACCGTCTTCAGCCTTGGGGTCCTAATCCCTGGGTTTCCATCACCTGGAGCCAGAATCCGTCCCTTTGGGACTCCCACCTGCTGGTGCTGTATTTGCCTTCTGAAGCTATGGAGCCAGGACACTCCATCTTCCCCATGCCAGCCCCATTAAAGACCCAAAGAGACGAGGAGTCATGTCAGCTTCAAAAGCAGCACCGGCTGCATTCACTCAGCACTTAACAGTTGGCCACACAATGCACTAGTGCATTCAGTATCCTCGGTCTCCACCCCATGAGGAAGGTCCCATGTTATCACCACGCACAGGTGAGGAACCGACCGAGACCAGCTTGCCCAGGTGACTCAGCTAATGTGGGAAGAGCAGGGGAGCAAACGCAGGCCAGTCTGGCTCCAGAAGGAGCTTCT